CGCAACCGCACGCGGCGCTGGCGCCAATTTCACTTGCCGGGGCGCAGTGATAACCACCGTCATCAGAATGGCGAAGCGCTCCAGGCCGCTTTCCTGGGCAACGGGGCCATCCACTGAATTTATAGATCTGAAGCCAATGATACCATGATGGAGGCTGCCGAGTCAGGAAGCAGCCCAGGCCATGCACACCATATCGCAAATCAACAAAAAGGAACGCGACCATCTTCTGAATGGCCTTTCACGGCATTGTCTCTTGCCCCATCACTGAGCACCAAAGCACAGTCTCAGCGGTATCGTACCTTTGAAGGAAGCAAAGCCGATAGTAGAAAGCAAAAACCAGGGGTTCTGAATCTCTTCCAAATAGTCACCCGCCCGGCTCTGCAAACATGCAACAAATTCCCCACCCCGGGTAAAACAAAGACCACCATCTTATCCGCTCACACCTGTCCCAAGTATAAGTTGCATGCACAACGCGGAGCCTTCGTCCATTCTGTTAGCAAAGAATTCACGAGGGATCTTTCAGGTCAGCAGCTCCCAACGGAATCGATCCAAGCCCTGTGGCTGTCGCCTTATGTCGCATTGGCGATTGACCATTTTGCTAGTGGCAAACCCCCCGCCCAATGAATGCACCTCCGGGCGTTTACTTCTGGGCGTTTGCAGAATAGAGAAGCCTGCACAAGTGCGTGGCTTTCTCTGGGACTCACTGGAACTCCCACCCACCCCCCCCCCACCCCCCGCCAATTCAGGACAGTCCCTTGCCGGGAGGCTGTGGCCAAAGGCGCCGGAGAGGGTGGCGTAATCTCGGCGCCGCTGCAAGGGCTAGCAGTTGTACACAACAAGCCAGGGGTCTTAGGATCACAGCAACACGCAATCTTCGACTTGCGCTCGTTTCTTCTAGAAAATGGGCATGACTCTTCTCATGCGCCTTTTTCGAATCCAAGGGTTGCTGTGGGGCGCGACCCTCATGGCACATGTCAAGACTTGAGGCGACCGTAGCGCGCCCTGGTTCACGGCCTGTGCGTGTGCAAGGCGTGGCTTTGATCAGCCCCTGAGCGGGCAAGCCGCAAACACACGGCCCTTCCCTGGGTATTGTTGCTCGGCGGTTGCTCGCAATCAATGTCAGCGAACATGCTGTTGGCGTGTTGGTGCGACCAAGTCGTCGCGTTCCTACACATTTGATCCTTGTGTGTTCGCGCAACGCGGAGCTCGTGCTCCGAAGCGACCCCTTGCAAACAAGCAATGTCTTTATTGCTGGTCCTGCGTTGTGTTTCATGGTTTTGGGAATAAACCTGGGGAGCCCCTCAGAAGAGGCCAAGGGTCATTCCCTCATTCACTGCGAAGAACCGGCAAGTTTTTTTTCCCATGGCAGGCAGCAATCCACTGCATGGCATGGATGTACTGGATGGACAGGGTTGCCTCCTGTACGTCCGCGATGTCGATCCTTGGGAAGGAAAGCGCTACCCATGCGAAACTGGTGCATCCCCTACATGCCAGGAAAGATTCCTTAGAACCCCTGCGGAGGGGCTCTTAGAAGAGAGGGCTCTCAGCATCTCTCAACATTTCTCAGTTCGGCCCGGCTGCCAACAGATTTACTGAAAGACTGACCTTGACTCCAAAAATCTCGCCTCCCTGGCTTGACGTCCAAAGGCGATGGCGGCAAGCCATGGGGCTCGAAATGGTTGGTTGTTGAGGTCTGGAGTCGGTGGAGTCATTCCAGGGTCCAGGGTCTTCTTTTTTTCAGACTATCTCCTCCACATCAGCTGGGCGGGACCGGGGCTGCCACTTCATCGAAGGACACCATTGGACCATTCCGACTCTTGGTGGCCAGTGCGTCCCCCTTTTGTGGGAGGCTCACTCAAAAAAATATGACTGAATAGCAGCCAAGGACGCCCCACTACAAAGATTGTGCCAGAAGATGCTTCGTGCAAGTCCGCAACGGCGGTGGCATGTCCCGTGACCCCTGCAAAAGCAACTCGAGCAAACCTGCCCGAGTGTCCAACTGCTGCTCCCCATTCCGGACACCACCTGGCGCGCCATGAGTGCTCAACCGGGGTGCGCCACCCGCCATCCTAGTCAGTGTGTCACACCCCTGCTTTACTTTCAGAAAAAAATCCCAGGCAAACTTAAGGGACAGGCTCATGTTGCCCCAACCCTGGCACAGGTGGCTTTCCCCATCCTGGCACAACCCAAGCTGTCAAGGATGACTTTGGTACTTTTTTCTGTCCGGCGCAGCCCCCACTTCAGAAGGCCGGCCTTGCCCAAACCAAACCATGAGCACGCCAGGATGTGGGCGACCATGAAGATGGTCATCCTGAACATGCGGGTCGCACGGGCCCCACCCCAGAAGCTCACGGACTGATATCAGAACTAAACCGCCGGGGTGTTCCGCGATTTCCAGCTGGCGCCGCCAATATCTTGGAGGAACCTTGCCCATGGGCGGTCCAGGCAAGCCAACCACCTTGTGGTGAACCAGGCTATGAACACTTCGCGCTTTCGCACGCCAAGAGGCAGCATCTTCCCAACCGTGAAGGTGAGAATCAGCCACTGACGGCCCATCGAAATCACCTCGCGCGGTAGGCACATGGGTATGGATTAGCATGGAATACGAGAACAATGCTTTTCGAGGACTTGTGGGGGGGCTTGTTCAGGGTTCATGAAACAATCCGCAGGGAATGTATATGATTACCTTCCGGAAATTGATGGCTTGGGTTGGGCCTAAGGATATGTGTTCTTTGGCAAGCCATCAGCCAAGCGACGAGATTCTCCAGGATCACGTTGATCTTCCCTGCCTTCATGAGCCGCAGAATCCGCAGACTTCCTCATGTCCAGAAGCAAGCAAAGTGGGCGTGTTTCTTCTTTGAAGCGTCCCACTTCTGGCATAAAGCGAACGAATCGCCACCAATGCAACCCCGGGCTCGGTCAGTCAACCCTCTCAACTGAGACCACGGCCCCATCTTGAATCTTCTGGGGGACGCGGGCCAACTCACAATGAGCAGCCGCAGTAGCCCAAATCTCATTTCGCGCGGCCATGGGCAAAAAGAAAACATCCAGAGCCATGCCAGTCCGAGCAATTGCAACCTGGAGGGCCTCCCCGTTCCAAAGGCGCCCTCAAGAAGAGATGCGCATTCTTGAGGAACGCCTTGTTGTCCACATTTTAGGGGGGGACTAAAAGGCTTAGATCGCTCCACCTCGGAGGCCCTTCATTTGGCTTGACCGAGCTTCTCAAAAGCCGCAGGTACCGCGCTGAGCGCAGCGGCTGCAGCACGTCCGCCATGTCCTGGAAGCCAATTCGCGCCATGGAATCCCCAAGACTATGCTACGTTTGGAGGAAGCTCCTCTGGGGGACGGGAGGCCCCCCCCCAAAAAAAGAGGGCTTCCATGTGAATTCGCAGGGGAGCATTCCCAAGTGATCGTGGCTTGGCTTGGCTCAGTTCGCCACAACCCCCGAGTGTTGAGGCCAGAAATTGTATCATAGATGGTGGATTGAAGCAAACCCGAAACATTCACTTTGATGGACCCAGTCAATACCATCTTCTCCACTTGCGCCCTGATGAGACATGATGACAGCTCCAGCATGGCACTGAAGCCAGCTGACCAGCTGGCAGCTGTCAAGGCCGCCTCAAGTGCACAGGAACTCCTTCCCAGGCCAGGCCCCTAAACCCCCCCCCTCCCCAGCAAACCGGAGCGAGCCTCCGAGGCGGAGGAGAGCGCCAAGGTGAGGTCAACAGCCACCACTGACACATCAAACAGCAGCCAAGTGCTCAGGTACCGCCACGCGATCGACTCGGATGGCGAGACTTAAAAAACACACGCACACACGAAGCGCCTGCAGAAGCATCCAAAAGCCTGCAAAAGCATCAGGTGTTTGACCAAACAAGAAACTCATTAAAATCTGTGCCTGCAGAAGCAGCTGGTTGTGTGGTCCATAACAGAACAGAAACCTGGACAAAGAGAGCAGAAGATGCCAATTTGAGAACGTGCGCGCCGTCAAAGCGCAAAGGCCGGCATGTTTGACACGTGCTTCCAAGCACGCAGAGATAAGGGGCCCCCAACATGTGACCTTCTAGGTCTGGCCCAGCCAAAACACTTGTGCCATTGTGGCTCGTTCCCCTCCCAGCACACAGCTCCCCATTCCTCAAACCAAGCGGCCTGTCTTCGCGTTTCCAGATGCGCCATGTTGTAATACGCCGTGTTGAAGTTCACCATGATGTCCTCGCTGTCTACCGGTAGGTGCTTCGTTTGCAAGACCAGAAGCTACTGCACAAGAACTCAGAGCATTAATTTACATGTATTTGCCTGTTGCTGCACAGCATACCCTTACAATACTGCATCACACACCCGCAAACGAGTCGGCAAATCAGTCGAAGGGCCCAGCCGTGAACTCTCAAGAAGGAAGCAGTCAGCCGGGCATATGGGCGGAGCGTTTTGCCCAGCTGACAAAGCTTTGGTCCACAATCATGCCACTTGCAGAACTCCAAAGGTGGCGCGCGGCTTTTGGCCCAGCGTCCAACGGCCAAAACACCATGGACAAGGCGGCAAACATCTTTAACTGGAGAGAGCCGTCGCTGAAAGGGCTGATCCTTGGCCGGCGAGGCTGACGGGGACGTGCCTGGGGGCTGTAAACTATGGGCATTTGCCCTGCGGTGTGTCAAATCACCCTGCTGCGATGGTTCCCAGAGGTTCCCGAATATTAAGACACGCGATTGCAACTCGGCACAAAACAAACGAGTTCTCTCGTTTCGTGTTGGTCACTGAGATGACTGGACAGGTCAAGTAGCTAAGGACTTGCATTGTCTAGCCGAGGCGTCTCCTGCGCCCAAGTAGGTACAAACATGGGGGTCAGGTTGGCTGGGCTAATAACAGGCGGGGGAGATTAGAGAACAAACCGTAGACATGGTAGACACCAGCTGAAAAGGATGAAAGAACTGGAATCTCCCAAAGCTTAGGCGTGTGAACCGGAGTCCCACTTTCCAGAGATTCTCCTTTAGCCCACCCATTGGCTACCGGAAGGAGGCAGACTTGGATGCTGACGGGCCAAGCCGCTCCAAATCCCATGCCATAGTCACAGGCAGTAGAAAGGTATCCACGACAATGAGGCACATGCCGCACCTCAGCCGCCAAAGCGACTCATTGGCAGCAACACACATCACGCAAGAACGAACATTAACGAGCGAAGCAGCTATAGTCCATGCAATCTTACGGCTCGAAGGAAGAGGCGCCAGGCTTGCCCTCTCTGAATAAAACATTGGACATGACCCTGGAAGACCCTTCCCACATGCACTCAAGCCATGGATCCATGCCCTGCCAAGCGGCACATCCCAAGCCACCCGCGACTTTGTGTTGGGCATGAAGGGCTGGCAGTACTTCTGCTGCACTTGCCGCACCTGAACGCCCAAACAGCTGCACCCGGCGCGAGCGAAACCTGCTGAGCCACTGGTACATTGGGAACCCCCCCAACCCTCGAGTAGAGCAAACTGGGCACCCCCCCAACCCCCCAGGAGAGAAAACCACATCCGCGCGTTGTTTGGAACCTTCATTTTGAGCCACACGCATCGCCCTGCCGGCATGCGGAAGCTTCATTTATCTTTGCTGCTTTTTTATATTTCTTTCATCATCAACCTAAGGAATGAGAAAGAAGACAATGTACCTGTTCTTTTATTATGTTTTTCTTTTTCTTTTTTACAATTCCTTTCTTGTCAATCATTTTCCCTTTATCTTTATTGGTTTTATTTTAGTATCTTCCTTTACCATAATTCCAATATCTATGTCTCTTCTCTTTAACTTATGAATCTTGGAAATAAGAATTGAAAAGGAATCAGGATAAAGATGCATGAGAGAAAGAGCAATGACAGGTAAAGGAAAGTAAATAATAAAGTGGATGGGATTATACATAAGATTTCTCCCTCTGTCAGCTCCCATTGAACCCATGGGCCGGGCATGTCAGGCACCAACTCCCTTGGGCACCGAACACCACCCATAACCCCTTCTGGCTGAGTATGCGCGGCCTAGCCCAACTGCCTGGACATCCGGGTGAAGCAATGAGCAATAGCCCACTTGACCCAAAACATCAAGATTAACTCTGGACCATGGCAGGGCCCAAAAAGCGATATCTAGGCCCTCCAGTAGAGAGGATAGAATAAGGGCACCCTTTTTTCTGCAGTCTATTTTAGTGGGGGAACCCTCCCCCAAAAAAAGGGTCAAAGGGCACTACTGGGGGACCTAGTTATCGCCAATGGGGAACATTTCCAAAAGAACAACTTCTTTTCGACGAGACGTGATCCAACGCGCCTGATCCGCCACGTTGGAGTGCCGCTCGGTGCCCACATGGGCGGTGGTCTTCTTGGTCTCAGCGCGCGCGGTTTGGGAGCCGGGCGCGGGAATTTGCCCATGGGTCAAAATCCCGTTGAACATCCCAATCCCCACCCACTAAAAGAAACGGTTCTAAAATGGGTGGTGAATCCACCTACCAACCAAAAGGATTACCATTGGTTTTGACAACCACAGCCATATTTCTGAAACCTGTAAGAGAGCCGTTTCTGTCGAGAACCTCAACCAGGCGGTGGAAGGGTGGGGATGGCGCGATTATCTCGCCGCTGAAAGATCAGGGAAGTTTGCGCATGCCAAAGCTGGAGAGTTGTCAGAATTAGGGGCCCTTGTCAGTTTCCGCTTTGTATAGTGCAATGTCGTTGCCAATTCCTCAAGTGACCAAAGGACCAACCTTTCGGCGTGCCCATGGCGCAAGCCCCCATAGTCATTGGAAACAAACTGGCTGACGGGCCCTGCAAGTGTGCATCTGTTCATTTGCATGCGCTGGCTTTGCATCTCGCGATCGGCGATGCACGACCCCCAACATGAAACCCATCCACAGAAACAAGAAAACCAACAATCTCGGCACCATGTCAGCACTATCTGTGTGACTTGCAGCAGCCTCAGCCCATAGAATGTTTTTGGTGGCACCGCACAAGGTCCCTGTCTGGAAAAGGTAAGTGCCCCGAGCAAAGTCATCTCTTCAAGCAGGAGTACTGCCCTCCCCAAAATAGCACAACCTCTGTCAAGAATTCCGACCTCATACAAAAACTGCCTTTTTCTGCACTTCAGACCTCTGGTTCTCATGTTGGCCTTTCCTTCCCCAAATCGTTCAACAAGTGAGGTCTGTGAAACCCCCACGCCAAAAACACAACAACAGCCGCCGACCAAAAATGCATACAGCCCGAATAAATAAACCTAACCTGGCTGTTGAATGGGCAGTCTGAAAGAACAAAGCAAAAGTGCCTCTCCGGTTGGCTTCCTTTTGGCCCAGTAACCGACCTCACACATGAACCAGGTCAAACCCGACATGTTAAACTCAATTTGCTTAAGTCCCCTGGAAAAAATGAGAAGATATGTCGCCCTTTTTGGGTTTTAAAGGGAAGCCCCAAAAGAATGGGGGACCCCTTAACACAGACCCACACATGTTGTCCGGCCCGAGGCGCCGAGAGAGAGGACTTCAGCCGGTCCTTGCCTACGGCCTCCACCGCCCCGTTGGTGCGCTGGGACAGCTCCATGATGTGTGGGTTCAGGCGCAAGGCCCTGGAAACAGGATGCGATGCCCTCCCCCCCCATTTTCTGAGATCCAAATTAGCTTCATTAGGGTTCAGCCCCAAAGCAGCTGTCAGAAGCCATTGATTTTGCCACGAGAAACCCCCCCAACCTCCCCCGGCGCTTTTTTCATGAATCCTAGCGGCGGGTCGCATGCCCTCCCGCTCCTTTTTTTCATGTGGAATCTGACGTTTCTGCGGGGCTTGGCTTGGACCATTGTGCTGAAAAAGGAAGCGGGTGCCTGGCAGGGTTCCATGCAAAAAGGGGAGGGTACTGGTGGGTTGAGAACATGAAGCTCCGCTGATCCAAAAGTCAGTGAGGGACCAAACTTGGACCCTGAAAGTTGGAGGACATAGCCCCATATTGGCCTTCGTGGCGCGTAGATTGAAACTGAGTGGGTTGAACATCTGAGGCATTGCACGTAGGGAGACACGGAAAGTCCCTTGAGATTGAGAAGGTCGCGAGCGCCACGCAACCCTGCCAGGAAAGTGGCAGAAGCTTTGTGGGATCCGACTCCCGACTCGAACCGCCTCGAAAGGTTTTAAGGAACCGCAAGCCAACCCACCAGAACCCTAGCCCAACCTCCTAAAACATTTTTGGAGCTGGACGTAGTCTTCCTTCGGTTGTCAAACCTCCCAATGCCCCCCCCCCGCCCCCACCCCCCCCACCCCCCAAAGCCCACTCCAAGCACCCCCCCCCCCAACCCAACCCCACCCGCCCACAGTCCGAGCGGCAGCTGAGTGCCCTCCGAGGCTGCCGCCTGTTGCAGGATCAAGGCCCCGATCCTCGCATCGCCCGAAAAGGCACCGAACGCCGCGCCGATGCCGATGGAGGGAGCCCCAAGGCCGATTTTTCCAGGGCCGGGATACATCGAGAAGTTGGAAGACGCTGGCCCCCCTCTCAACAAAGAGAAGAACAAATATGTTGCCCTCCTTGCCTTTGAACTCTGGGGGGCTGCTCATTGACATCTTTGTCGATTTCGGACGCCTTTTTTTGCAAAGTGCGATGATGGGCCCGGGGAGGGGGGGGCTGGGGGTGGCCGGAGCGGCAATGGTTTGTGATTAATTTCCTCTGTTGAAATTTTGTCAGGTTGAAGGAAGCAAACAACAATGCCCAACACCGTAAACCAGCACTGTACCTAAAGGCAGCCACCCCCCCCTTGCCAACCTTGAGCCCACCCTAAACGCAGCCTAAACCAAAGCCAACTGGTGATGCTGAGGATGTTGAAAACGATGCTGGGAATCATCGACGAAAACAACAGAAATCCGGGGGGGCGGGCGGGGGGGGAAAACAAGCAGCAAGTCTTGAATCGAATCTGGACCCAATTCTTTCCGCTGCAAGGGCGTGCAAAAGAGGCGCAAGACAGTCACCATGGTCTTGATGAGGCAGGTTGAGTTTTCCAGTGGGCACTCCGTATTCAGCCCGCAGGCTGCAGGTACGTTGGCTTCCCGTGCACTGACAGTGCGTTGTGCCGTCTACTGTCACCAGAGTGGGATTGGGGTGGCGTGCCACTTCAGTAGGGCCAATGCTGTTCGCCAGGTCTGACATATGACCCTCCTTGTTTTCAAGCAAAGCTCGGCAAATTATTGACACGCAGCTGGCCAGGTAGCGGTGGCTCGGTAGCTTGCAACTCTTGGTTGAGCTGGGCTAAGAGCTACAGCCAGCCAGGAACTCTGAAACATTGAACAAGAAAGCAATAGTATGAGTGCAGCAGAGAGAGAGAGAGAGAGAGAGAAAAACAAAAAGAGAGAGAGAGAGACAGAACGAGAGAGAGCGAGAGAGAGACCAGCAAAAGCCGAAAATGGTTCCCTCGCTACCAACAAAAAATCCCGGGCGTCCCGGCGGAAGGGTCTCCTCCTTCTCCGATAGTGGCACCGACCTTGCGAAAGGCAGACCCCGCACCGCAATAGACACCCAAGTCATGGCATCTGTGAGTTGCCATGGTAAACATGGTCATGGTGTTACCCCATGGGTCCGCTCGGGTTTCTTGGCACCATGAGAGTGTCCGCACGTAGCCGAGGTGTTTGGAAAAGAAAAAAGCAAAACAGGCCGTCCAGTTGGAAACCCCGGCCATGTCCAAGTCCGGGCTAGCTTTTCGGAGCCCTGCAGCCCTCAGCCACTTCGCTTATCTAAACAAGCCTTCATTTGGAATATCTCGCGGCTGGTCATACAAGTCCTCAAATCCCACCAACTACGTACCAAGCAGTCAGCCCAAATCCAGCCCTATCAAACCCCTTTCACTGCTGCAATGCAACGAATGACAGCACCTGCAATGCCGCCGTGCATGCGAGGCAGCCAGGTGGCAGGATGGCATCCTTTAGCAACCAACTCTCTAAGTCCTCCTTTGCATCCGCGCCGTCAGGCAGCGCAGCCTCGGGTCTCTGCTGCGGGACTGCGAAGTTGTGGCCAGCGGGGAGGGGGCAGCAAAGGTTGCAAGGCAGACGCGGCTCGTGGAACGAGCAAAGATGTCCACCCGACAATGGATACACTTGACAGGGTGCAAAGCGCAACCGCCTGTGGTTGTAAATCTGTCAGACATGCTTTCCACTATTGCAGCAATTGACAGCCATATGTTGTGTGGAGCCCACACCAACTAGGGCCTAGGGGCAGAACCCCCTAGGCCATGTTGAAAAGCTACACACAAACAGTCTTTTGATTGAGGCTGCGCACTTGGTGTCCAGGTCGCGTCGCCAGCAGGTGCATCGAAACTCACGCCGTTTGCCCGTCTCTCGGATGGGAAAGCTCGCTTGACTGGGAGGATATTTGGGTGTGGCTCAAAATTAAAGAGCCAGGGATCTGCGGGCATTAGTCTTTGGTTCCATCTACCAAGGTCCCATTTTGGTACATCTTTTTGAGCCACAGCCATGTCACAACCTCTTTTCGAACCTCCGTTTAGTAACAAGTTGGGGGTCGAAAAAAACAGGCTAGCCTTTTGCGCCGGTCGCAACCCCAAGGCAAGGCACGGCGATCGCTCGCTCCTGGGCAATTTCACCCTCCAGCTCCTCCTGTGCTTCTTGCACCTAGCTTGGCGCAGTCCAGGTGAGGAATGAGGCAAGATGGTTTTAACGGGAAAGGGAAACTGCCTAGTGGTTTTGGTCGGGGGCGGGCCAAGATCGCTTGCTTCAGATGGATAGTGACTGGCACAGCTGCATTACAATCCCTAGGTGGGGTTAGGATACAACTGCATTGTACGGTGTCGGTGCAAACAATATCAAACAAACAAAACAATGCTTCAAGTGTGCTTCAAACACCTCGCGCCGCGAATGCTTAGCTCCTGCCTCACGAGCCCGGTGCACGCTTCTCTCCCTAATCCATACTGCCACTTGGCGAGGGCCGTGTATGAACCAAAACAAAGGTTTGCATCCAAGCTGGCCAAGAGGAGGACGGCAAGGGTAATTGCCACACGCAACCAGCGTTCTAGCACAGAACCTCGCAAACCAAGACAAGGTGTGAGCGAAGGCCTCGGCGCACAAATTAATGATTTGCTACAGGTCGAAGGCTTACCACCAGCCCTCCGCAACATTCCTCGGGGTCACTGGGGTAAGTCTTTGATGAATGTCAGCACGGAGCGAACCTTTGCTAGCCGCAGGCTGTGGGAAGACTGGGCGAAGCCGACGGAGGACTATAGGAACTGTAGGAAAACTGCGGGAACTACGGGAAAACTACGGGAAAACTACGGAAATACTATGGGAAGACTATGGGAAGACTATGGGAAGACTATGGGAAGACTATGGGAAGACTATGGGGAAAGCCTGTAACACCCCAGATTGTCGGAGCGTTTCGGGCAAGCTTTGCCTGCCGGCTACAGGAAGACTGCCGGAAGCCTGCGGAAGACTTTTTGGAGAAAACTGCAAGATAAGCAGGCCCTGCTTCTTTGGGGCTCAACATTGTCAGGGCAGCCACAAAAGCAAGAAGAGGTGCAGCCAGGGCTGTGCTTGAAATGGAACCCACGAATCTGTGATACGTTGCAAAAAAGGGGCCAACAAAAAGACTGACCCCCCATAGGGGATTCCCTTGTATGCTTGGAAGGAGATTCCCTTGCATTGGATAAAATCCTGGGGCTCCCAGTGTGTATCATGGTCGAATAAACCCCTGGGGCTCCGTTGGAACCCCTGGAACCTCCCTGGGTATAGACCCAGCGAGCCGTCCCGCCGTCCCGCCCCGCCTGCTCGCGCAAACGCGCGAAGGCTGCGTCCAGCTCGCCCTGGAGGCTCTCAAAGCCTAAGGCTTCTGAGAGAAAGACACGGGAGCCCACGGCGGTGGCTGAAATGCAACCACGAATCTGCGATACAACCAACAGTGCTTCCCAAAGAAAAAACAACTAAAATAAGGGGGGAGGATTCCCTTGTATCACAGAAGTGGGGGATACACCCCTTGATTCCACAACCCTGGGCGGAAGTCACCTGGCTCAGCCATACTGTGGATGGACGAAATCCATTTCGCACCACCTAAGAAACCCTTGGAATGATTTGATTCCCCTGCATATACCAACAAACAATGGTTCCCCATTGTTTCTTGGGTTGTGCAGGACTTTGTCCATCCACAGTTCAATCACAGGATCCCACCTTTTTCACTAGACTTAAACAGGGGTGAGGTGCACACTAAGAAGATTGAAAGGCATTTGGTGACCCCACCCCCTTAGTCCCGGTACCCTTTTGAGACATATCGCACAGGATTCCACTTTTTCACTACCCCAAGGTTGACTTAAACCTAGGGGTGGTTGTCCCCAAAAGGGGGACCCCTGGGTTCTTGGCTTGCTTGAGGCTTGGGTGAGCAACTTTGCCTCGTGCAAGCTGGTTCGTTGATTGTCTGGTTGAGTGATCTATTCTCGTTGCGCATTATTCGCGTTTGACCTGTTTTTTTTGGAGATCAGTCCCATGAACTGCAAGCACATTGTTGCGGGCTTCAGCTTAAAACGTGACAACGCCTGCTGCGGCAAATTTGGGGGGAGGGGGGTCTCGCAACGTTAAAGGGTAGTCTGAAGAATAAGTGTTCATTGCCTGCAGTTCGCTGTCCAAGGTGTTCAAGAAACACATGGGCCATTCGGCTGACAGTAAGGACCCAAATCGAAAGAAAAACCATGAGAGCGTTGTTTCTAAGGCAAAGACTGGCACTCGCAATGGCACATCCCCTCAAGCTCCACCCCCATGTTTGAGCATACCGCTGAGCTGAGCACGTCTCGACAGGGTGCTTTGGATGTGCATGGCTGCAGCTACATGCCACGGGGCACCATGGATACCGTCCAATGCCTTGCCAAACTGACGTGCCTGCTCACAAAAAGTCAGCCCATACCTTGAGTGCGCCACGTCAAGCTGAGTGGAGAAAAAGTCAGCTTGGACAATGCCCAAACCAGTGGGGCGCCCATGAATCTCTAGCACACGAGTTGTGTGCCGCAAGACCGTTTCTACGAGCCAACAGCTGAAGGGCACTCGGCTCTCGCAAAGACATCGGGTGGCAGGTATGGGGGGGTCCAACGCGGAAGCCCGAAACCAGGGCTTTTCAAACCGGAAGATGGGAAACCCAACTTGAGACTCGGAATGGTCCCACATGAAACAAACAATCATCTTCCACCTAGTTGGCGGTTTGGATTGGTGGTTTGGTGCTTGGGGGTGTTTCCCAAATACCCTCTACAAGAACTAGGGCTTCAAATCTCCAAACCACCAATCCAAACCACCAACACCTGCTCCTAAGGCGCTCAACAATGCTAAGAGCCCACACGCCGCCACTAGTTCCCAAGGGCCATCCCATCGCGCCGGTAGCCATGCAAGTATATATGCCAAGTAATCTCCGCAAGCCTACATAGGAGTGGCATTGCTACCTGCACGGGCAAACTGCCCAGACTTCGCACTCTGAAACCAGGAATCCCCAAGCAAGGGACCCGGCGAAGATGAGCTCGCTCGCTTCCCCCCCCCGGCTAAGCTTGTCCAGCACATCCCAAGATCCACACGAAGCCAACGAACGAACCAGTACAAAGCACGACGCGCATCCGCCCGCTCCGCCGGCCCGGCTCCGCCTCCGGAGGTTTCCTTCCGCCGAGCAAGGCACATCCTGCGCGCGCAGAAGCCGCGGCCCGCGGCCCGCTTAGCGGCTTCTGACACCGGAAGAGCGGCGTCGGCGCCAGCGCGGGTTCAATTGTTTCACACGGGTCAATGAAGAGCTGGCTTTCGCAGGCCACAGGTGCCGGCGCGACTGTGTCTTGGACAAGGCGTCATTTACAAGCCACTCAACCCAATGCATGGTGCTTGACAAGGATTTAACGCAGAAGCAACAAGGTGTGACCTACCATCCCATACTTGGCATGGCCCAGGTGATCCACCATCTCTCTTGGGAACCGCGAGGATAGCCATTGAGATCCGGCTGACTGAGAAACAGACGTTCAAACAGGTCGCCCAAGCCATCCCATCCCCAGCCGAGCCGCCGGCCGCCAGGACTGCCTGGAGTTGGAAAGAAAGAGAGAGAGAGAGAGAGAGAGAGAGAGAAAGAAACTGATGCCAAGCCCTGAAAATCGACTAATGTGTTTCAGACATTAAAGACAGGTTAACCCAAAAAATGCTATGCGAATGACAAGCTGTCATCTTTAATATTCAAACCCGAAATCAGCGCGCGCTACCTGCAGTGTTTGCGGCAGGGTATTCTTTCGACAACCACCCGCATGGCCTGTGTTGAAACCGGCAACTTCCCCACCATCTCTTGAGGGAATGGCCTCCATGATCCATTCCTTGTGGCCATCCCTTGAAGGGAAGGCCAAGGTTCATTCACAAAACCGCTCTTGATGCCCCATTGAGAACCTCTGCACCCACGAGGAACGTTTCGTCCCCAGGATGAACTAACCAACTGTTCCAAGAGTCAACGATGCCGCTGCTGGAATCCCAAAAAAACTTGCTGGTTCGCAGCAGGGAATGAGAAATGGAATGACCCCGAAAAAACATCCAACTGGTGGTTTCCTTTCAAAAAACCAAAGTCTGGGTCGTCTGGGTTCATTCTATTTCTCATTCCCTACCTATCCAGCCAAAAAAACTAAACAACTTTTGCAGAACCTGGCAACTGGACACCCCAAGGAAGAGGCTCCATGGGCCCTCGCCTCGGCGGCGCCAAGGGCTTGGCTTTGCTTGGGCCCCCCTGCGTCGAAGGCCGCCGGCGCCGCCCGGCCCAGGTCCCGGCCATCAGCGCCCAGGACCTACGCGAAGGCAGAGGGAGCTGTCTTGGTTAACGTTGGAAGGGGAGCAACAGGTGTTTTTTTTTGTTTTTAATATATATATATATATATATGTACTTGCTGTTTTTAGAATGTGAAATGTTTCCCAACAACCATGACTGGGCTGCCAGTGTTCAGATTCCCCGCTAAAAGTGGCTGACTTGTGGGTGAAATTCGGACATCCGACCATTCAACCCTAAGAAGCTCTAAAAAGCTTGTTAAATGGAAATCCTCACTAAGCCAGTTAAAGAGCCAAAAGCCAAGAAGCTAAGGAACCGGATGGCTGGGAGCCAAAGAAAAAGACTCGTGTAGAAAGTGAGAGGCTGTTTGACCTAAGAAAAACAACTGAAGAAAAAGAGTGGAAGCAAATAAAGTTCGTCCCCTCAAAACATGCCGCAAGACTGAATGTCAGATTTCTGAAGAGTTGCAAAGGGACACCCAATACCAAACAAGGCGTTTAGAGCTCACGATGTTTCAACACACCTCCCTCCTGGAGCAAGGCTGGCATGCCCACGCTAGATTCAACCTGCACTGGCTGAGTGCTGCTCCTGCACCATCTGCCGACAAAAGACAACAACTCTTCTTGAAAGGCTTCACCACCTCTGGAACATACATCTCGCGGGCAAAGGCGTAAATAAGCCCTACACAAGCCTCGAGTGTCATATTGCCTGGTTCGTGGGCCTGTACGGGGGAATCGGTGAAGTTCGGCCTCCAGCGAAGGGATGCGAGTCCAAACAAGTCTCTCAAAACCGTTGCAGCAAGTGACACTTGCATCATAGTGCTTTACGCGCCCAAAGCCCTGATGTGGCGCGGATCCACTGCTTTTGCACCACGGCTTGGATGCCACCATAAGAATCCAGTCAATTTGCGGAACCCTTGTGTCCTGTCTTCATTTAGGGCACGATTCGCAAAGAAGCAACCAAACCGACAGCACCCACGCACCAGCTGGGGTGCTGGCCAAGCAGTTCGAGGCCGCCTCAAGTGACGTGGGGCCCCGCTTTCGGACTTTGCATCCCCCATTTCTGACAAATGGGGGTGTCTTGTTTGAGGGTACCCCTTGGAGGTCATTTTCAGGGCCACACTTTCTAACACACCCAGAATCGGTTCTGGGACTTGAACAAGGGCAGTCCAGAGCACGCACTCGAAACTGAAATGACTTGAATGAACTACTTGGATCCAGTCACCCCGTTGCACCGACACCAGCAATGTTGTGAAGCCTCTCCAGTCGAAAAGTTGCCCCATCCAAGTCCTCGCAGGGCCGTCTCTCCAAAGTCGAAAGATACTCCAAACAACGCTCAGACGTCCTGTAAACGCGCGTTTGTTTCGTTCTTTCCCCCCTGTAATGGCCGCAAAAACGCGCAAATCATATGGTTTTTCACAGGTTTCGAGCAAGTCCAGCAAAGGGTGGGCCGGATGTCCGAGTGGAACTGCAAGAGCACGGCCTATCCTTAGGTGACTCCAAATCAAAACCTGTTATTTAAATGGTCGCACTCCCAGAACCATGTACAGAATTAAAAAGGCTGACACCCCCACCCATTAAATTTGTTGGCATTATCCCTTAACTTTCTTCTACCCGGGTTTCGAGCAAGTTGGTCAAGTGCCTCTCTGGCAAGCAAAGATGGTGCCGGCTCAGGGCGCCTGAAACCATCCCATCGTTCATGCAAACTGATCAAAAAGAGCACCCAGGCATGTACCTGCATTTTCAACTTCGCATCCAAGCATTGTCTTCATCAAAATTGCACCAGTCCTTGGGACTGAAGCCCAGAGCGTTCTTTCGCTCATTTCGGTAGCGAGCGAAGCACTGCAAAAGACGCAGTGCTGCGCGGGTGCACTTGAACGGGTGTTCTTACCATTTGGCTGGCATGGATGCAGTGCTGCGCGGGTGCACTTGAACGGGTGTTCTTTCCATTCGGCGGGCATGGATTCCGTGCTGCGCGGGTGCACTTGAGCGGGTGTTCTTACCATTTGGCTGGCATGGATTCCGTGCTGCGCGGGTGCACTTGAACGGGTGTTCTTACCATTTGGCTGGCATGGATGCAGTGCTGCGCGGGTGCACTTGAACGGGTGTTCTTACCATTTGGCTGGCATGGATGCAGTGCTGCGCGGGTGCACTTGAAGGGGTGTTCTTACCATTTGGCTGGCATGGATTCCGTGCTGCGCGGGTGCACTTGAACGGGTGTTCTTACCATTTGGCTCAGTGCTGCGCGGGTGCACTTGAGCGGGCGTGCCTATCGTGAGTGTGAATTTCCATATAATTCCCGTGTTTTACGTGGTAGTGGCCGGACATGCACGAAACCTGTGAAAAACCATATGATTTGCGCGTTGTTGCGGCCATTACAGGGGGGAAAGAACCAAAGAAAGCGCGCGTTTACAGGACGACCGAGCCCCAAACAAACAGTCAAACAAGCAAACACACAAGCGAACCAAATAATCTAACAACAAAACAAAGCGAAGCCTAAACAAACACACAAACAAACAAACAAACAAACAAACAAATAAACGACCAAACAAAAGCAAACAAACAAACAAACAAACAAAACAAAACAAACAAGCAAGCAAACAAACAAACAAACAAAACAACAAAACAACAAACAAAATAAACAACTAAACCAAACAGACAGACAAACAAACAAACAAACAAACAAACAAGCAATCAAACCAAGCAAGCCAACAACCAAACATGCAAAACAACTAAACAAAAAACACAAGCAAGCAAGCATACAAACCACACAAGCAAACAACTAAACAGGCAAACACCTAAGCAAAACAATCAAACCAAAACCACCAATCAACCAATCAATCAACCAATCAAACAACCAAACAAACAAACAAACAGACAGACAAACAAACAAACAAGCAACAAGCACAAACACAACCCGAACAAGCAAGCAACCAAACAAGCAAGAAAACCAACCAAGAAAACAACATCACAAAACAAACAAACAAACAAACACAACGAGCAATCACCTAAGCAAATCATAGCCAAACAAGCAAGCAAGCAATCAAACC